GATAAGATATACACCTCTACCCCGATATAAGCCGACCCGATATAACATGAATTCGGATATAACGCGGTAAAGCAGCGCTCCAGGGGGGCGGCGCTGCGCACTCCAGTGGATCAAAGCAAATTCGATATAAGGCGGTTTCATCTATAACGCAATCAGATTTTTTGGATCCCGAGGACAGCATTATATTGGGATAGAGGTGTACTCATATATGAAAACAAAACAAAACAAATAAACGCTGAAAAAGGATTTTACAGAGAATCCTTAAGAGTTGAACCATTCCAAAAATATTGAAAATCTTTCACAAAAGAAACAAAAAAATTACATACTGTGTTTTAATCTACTTCATATGATAATTAAAGGTAAATGGAATGTTCCTTTTTATGCATGAAAAAAGTTAACTGAGTTTTTCACTTTTCCTATTTGAGGTTATTAAAAAGTATAACTCATTCAAAGTAATAATTTAACACCCAAAATTATGTTTACATGAGATTCATGTTGTGATGACACAAAGTGACAAAAGCAAGTAAATTCAAAATTAAGAATGATACCATGCCTGAAACATATACTGAATACTGATCAGATATGGCAATAACATTGCCTTTAGATCCTTGTAATACCTAGAAACAAAGTGACAAGGACTGAGAATGAATCTTAATCCAAAATGCCCCTGAGTTGTCTATGTCAATATTTAAATATAAATTGTTTTCATTTATATTCCTTTCCCCCCCAAAAGTAACAAAATAAAATAAATAATACTTTGAAAAGTGCTGTAGAGTTTCAAGAGAGACCATGTAAATCCTTTTCAGTTGGTGAAACATTGACGCAGCCACTGCTCACGCTCATAAAATCCATGTGCTATAATTCCTCGTGAATTTTTTTTTGGAAAAAAGTTACTGTGCGTGTACAACTTTTCTAAATGTAGTTTTTCCTATGAAATATCCCAGAGCATTAGTTCATATTAAAGCTAAAAAGACTAAAAGATTTCAGTTTGATGATAAAGCCTTCATTTTCTTATATGAGCACAATAAAGCAAATGAAATTATTGCTTTTCCTTCCTTTCCCACAATATATAAATGGCTAAGATGTTTTTCTGAAAATTTTTAAAAATAATCATGTTCCATCCCCATTTATGGGTTAACTGTTTAGTTTCTATGCTCATTTGCATTAAACTGGGCAAGGTTCCTTTAAGTGTCAATGTTCTGTTAGAATGTTAGCAATTCAGTATGGCTGAAAAACTTGTGATGCATAATTTATTCAATTAATTTAGCCCTTTTTTGTGTTTGCAAAAAAATCTACAAACAGGCTGTGTTTTTACAGATATGTTAGTTTTCAAAATTATTAGATTTGTTCAGATGTATTTCAGCCTGTGGATTCCTCTTGAACAGTGTGCTGAGAGCATTATTTTCGCATTTTTCATAGCCATAATTCACTATCCAAGCTATTTTGATTGGAAACATAGATCAAATGGTCTATGTCCGTGGCCTGTTTGGATGACTAACTCAGAATCAGGTTTCTGGTGGAAATACTCATGATTACAAAATTAAATTTAAGTAATTCACTTTCCATGACTGCTGAAACATTTGCTTAAAACTCTCTATTTTGCTGACTATTTCAACCAGCAAACTTTTCCTAAAATAGTCATGAAAAGCAAACATTAAAGTGGTATGAACCCAGCTGAAACAAATTGGTTTAAAATTTAAACCAGATATTCATGGACATAAGATGTATATAATTTTTCACTATTCACTTTATTTACCTATTTAGGTTTTTATTAGGGCTGTTGATTAATCACAATTAACTCATTCAATTAATTCAAAAAAATTAATCGTGATTAAAAAAATTAATCGTGATTAATTGCACTGTTAAACAATAGAACACCAATTGAAATTTATTAAATAGTTTTGGATGTTTTTCTACATTTTCAAATATATTGATTTCTGTTACAAAACAGGATACAAAGTGTACAGTGCTCACTTTATATTATTATTTTTGATTACAAATATTTGCACTGTAAAAATGATGAACAAAAGAAACAGTATTTCTCAATTCACCTCATAGTTCTGTAGTACAATCTCTTTATTGTGAAAGTGTAACTTACAAATGTTGGGGTTTTTTTTGTTACATAACTGCACTCAAAAACAAACAAAGTAAAACTTTAGAGCCTACAAGTCCACTCAGTCTTACGTCTTGTTCAACCAATTGCTAAGACAAACAAGTTTGTTTACATTTACAGGAGATAATGCTGCCGAGTTCTTATTTACGTCACCTGAAAGTGAGAACAGGCATTTGCATGGCACTTTTGTAGCCAGCGTTGCAAGGTATTTACATGCCAGATACTTTCGGCTACACTTCTCTAGTTACAAACTATAGAAATGATCCCTGAAAGTATAGTCAACGTTTGTATGCCCCTTCATGCTTTGGCCACCAGAGGACATGCTTCCATGCTGATGATACTCATTAAAAAAATGTGTTAATTAAATTTGTGACTGAACTCCTTGGGTGAGAATTGTATGTCTCCTGTTCTGTTTTACCTGCACTTTGCCTTATATTTCATGTTATAGCAGCCTTGGATGATGACCCAGCACGTTTGTTTTAAGTACACTTTCACTGCCGATTTGACAAAATGCAAAGAAAGTACGAATGTGAGATTTCTAAATATAGCTACAGCACTAGACCCAAGGTTTAAGAATCTGAAGTGCCTTCCAAAATCTGAGAGGGATGAGGTGTGGAGCATGCTTTCGGAAGTCTTAAAAGAGCAACACCACCAAAAAGGAAAATCAACCTTTTGCTGGTGGCATCTGACTCAGATAATGAAAATGAACATGTGTCGGTCTGCTCTCCTTTGGTTCGTTATCGAGCAGAACCCATCATCATCATTGACGCATGTCCTCTGGAATGGTAGTTGAAGCATGAAGAGACATGAATTTTTAGCACATCTGGCATGTAAATATCTTGCGACGCCAGCTACAACAGTGCTATTCGAACGCCTGTTCTCACTTTCAGGTAACATTGTAAACAAGAAGTGGGCAACATTATAGCCTGCAAATTGTAACCAAACTTGTTTGTCTGAGCGATTGGCTGAAGTAGGACTGAGTGGACTTGTAGGCGCTAAAGTTTTACATAGTTTTATTTTTGAATGCAAGTTTTTTTATACATAATTCTATATTTGTAAATTCAACTTTCATGACAAAGAGATTGCACTACAGTGCTTGTATTAGGTGAATTGAAAAATACTATTTCTTTGTTTTTTACAGTGCAAATATTTGTAATAAAAATAAATATAAAGTGAGCACTATACACTTTGTATTCTGTGTTGTAATTGAAATCAATATATTTGAAAATGTAGAAAATATCCAAAAATATTTAAATATATGGTATTCTATTATTGTTTAACAGCACAATTAATCATGATTAATTTTTTTATCACATGATTAATCGTGATTTTTTTTTATCGCTTGACAGCCCTAGTTTTTATACTGTGCTCTTCACCATAGTATCTGAGTGTCTAATACCACATACATGGGGTAGCACTCATGGAGCCATATCTTGCAGCATTTAGACACAATCTGAAGTGAATGGGCTTTTTCCTAAGTAAAGGCTGAGTAAAGTCTGCAGGATCTGGTCTTAGGTTTGTTCTATACCCCACAATTGGAACATTAGTTATCACTGATGTGATTAAATTTCAGATCCAAATAAAAAAGAGCCATGCTGCAAACCCCAAGAAAAAAAATGGTTAATAACTCAAACACTGACACAGCCAGTGCTATGGTTCCCTAAAAAGATACTTACCTAATAAGCATATCTCATGCTTTCACTGTTGTATACCTCATTCCCCACCCCCACTTTTGGTAATTCCTTTCTGTGCTTTGTCTAATTTAGGCCCTGAGATACCTATTGGAGTGTAAGAGTCACTTGCATAGATCCCTATGCAGGATTGGGCCCTAAGAATGTAAACTTCTTGGGATAGGGACCTGTCAATGTTCTCTCTCTAAGCATGCATGCTGATGAGGCTAGATACAAATTCCATGATCATCAGTAATATGATGGCATATATTAGATTCCTGCATGGTAAAAATGTTGAAAAGTGCTGTATGTTAAATATAAACTACATGATGATACACTAGTGGATGCATGTTCAAAGTATCAAAGTTTTTAAATAGTTTTACTTCAAGCCACTGCCTAACAAATGCAAAGCAGAGACTTTTGCCTACTTGTACTTACAGTCCTTGCATATCACAGGTAAATCCTATACCTACCTACATAGATAGACATAATATGTTAAAAGTCAGTAAAGAGCATGAGAGGCAAAACATTACAATATTCATTTTAGACCCTAGTCTGGTAGTCTTAAGGAGGTTTAGATGCATTTGCGCTGGCAGGGAGCTGAATTGGATGATATGAGAGGTCTCTCCCATCTCTTGACTTCAGAGATTCAGGCTATGTTCATTTCAATGCAGCTATGAAAAAGCAGACTTCAGTGCAGCTGTTTCTCTCCTCCTCTAAAGCTTCTCAAGAGAAACTGCTCCTTCCAGGCGGCCGCCTGAAAATGGTTAAGCAGGGGGTGAGGTTGGGTGCTCATGAAAAGCATCCTTATAACAAGCAAGGTCCTTCCCACTTCATTCTGCGGCGCGGCTCTGCCTGCCCCCAGCAGACAGCACAGCCCCACACAGAGGCAAGTTTGCTGGGGAATCAAGGGGCTAGAAGCCTCTGCCAAGTGCCTGCTCCTTACAAATGATTCTCCAGGAGCCCCCCCGCCCTCCAGCACCCCCACCCACCGTGCGAGCCCTCCTGTGCAGCGGGGATGGGAGACGAACGTGGCTGGCTCCTGCGCTGAGCAGGGGATTTGTGCAGAGAAGCAGTGGCCCGTGTGCGCCTCCTGTTCCCGGTGTAATTTGCAGCCAATCATCAGTAGGTGTCCACATCCCTGCATCCTCCTCACCTCGGAGCCAATCACCCCCTCCCCTCTTCTTCTCTCTTCCCTCCCCTCCCCCAGCCACCACCACCCGCACATACACACACACAAACAGAGAGAGAGAGAGAGGGAGAGAGAGACTCCCTGGCTCCCTCCCTCCCTCGCACACAGCGACTGGAGACGGACCGAGAGCAACGCGCAGGGAGAGGAGACCACCGAGCACACAGCCAGGCGCTCTCACACATACACGCACACACATACTCACCCAGTGCCTGCTCTTTCCCCCCCCTTCCTCCTCCTCCTCCTTTTCTCTCTGCAACCAGGGGGGGAAAGCCACTTACAGGTATTTGTCTAGTGGCTCGGCGTCTTTATTTTTTCCCACCCACCCCCCTTCACAGTTTGTTTACAAGTATCAAAGTTGTAATTGAGGAGCCGCCAAGACACATCTGGATATTTCTTCTTCTTTGTGCTAGGGAGTGATGTGCAACTAATTAAAGGCAGACAGGCTGGTAGCGTCTGCAATTTCCAGCCCCCCAAATAAAGAGACTGGTAAGTGATTGTTTGGTTCTCTTGCTCTCTCTTTTTGTTTTTCCTTCTGGGGTTTTTTATTTTGGGGTTTCTTTGGTTGGGTTTTGGGGAGGGGGGATTGGTTTTGTTCCTGTCCTCTAGGATCGTAAAAGTAGATTAATGCGAGACTTGGGCAATAAAAGGCGCCGCTGTATTAATTTATTAATTAATCTGCACCCGCCCCTCCTCCTGAATGTTAAATATGACCTTTGATCTCTATGTCTCTGGCAGACCAGACATGCAATATTGAACATGTACAGGCACATTGGCTTAAGCAGGAACCAAATCATGCAGTCTGGATAGCTATTTTTATGATTATTTTTAAATGTGGACTATAGTTAAGAAAAAATCAATAGCTGCGTCTTAGGTACCCTTTTCATGCTCCAGAGATGCATCGATTAAACAATAATGACCTGGTTGGTGGGCACCATCATTTTCTCCTTTCTGATGGCAATAAACCTTGAAGGGGGATAGGGGTGGGGGATTGGAGAGGTAGCAAGAAAAGAAAGATTTTGTGCAGAATAGCCACTTTAATACTATGAAAATAAAGCATAAAATGCGTGTACTATTTAATATATCAAATTAAAGGCTAAAATGTTAACAAATTTCCCTCCCCAGTTGTGTGGATTTACTACACATGGTTGGCAAAACTAGTTTTATTGAGTAGTTGTTATTATGGACATGCGGTTACAGTTTCATTTATAGAAACTAGAGGTCTTTGCTATGTGCAAATTCTTAGCCTTCTTTTCCAAGTCTATGTTTAGCCTGGAGCTTTTGGGGGCACCCTTTTTATTGCCATCAGACCCCTGAAGGGAGCAATAGTCTCAGTTTTTCCTGATGTGAAAATAGAGGTGGTTCATGTGTGATTAGGGTCTTTATGTGATTGAAAGATGCATGCTAGTTCCTAATCCAGCCAAGGGTGAGGTTCTTTATCTAGATTTATTCTACCATAATCTGGATTTGTTTACATAAACCCTGCTTTTTAGAATATAACATCAGTAGATGATGAAGTTTTTGCACTTGGTAAGTTGGGCTATAAACGGTTCATTAATCTAATTATGATCCTAATTACTATAATTGATAACCATTTGAACTAGACATATTTTAGCCTGAAACAGTACTGGGCCACATTTGGTGTCCCGGAAGTAAAGGTTTCTGATCAATATATATAAATCTAAAAAAATGCTAGAATAAGTCTAAAATAAATATCCAGGTGAAGAATCTAGAAAACAGAGACTGATAATAGAATTGTGTTTTAGTTAGGTTTTGTTTTACTTTCTAAAGACAGAAATAGTGTGTCTTTTTCTCTATTATAAACTAAAATATCCCTCTCCACATCATAAGAATGGCCTATGAGACATAAAAGGCATAAAAATCCTTATTTCTGCATTAAACTTTTAAAAAATAAAATAATAAGAATAACAATGAATCTGTCAATCCCACTAATGGTTAATTCAGCAGGTAACCATATACCTAATGGAGTCTTTTTTTTCTTTTTATAACCAATGTATATTCCTGTAATGCCTGCAGGAGGTGCTTAAAAAAAAACAGTCTTGTGCAGCCCCCATGGCTTGGAGATGGAAAAGAGCCTCCAGAGGGACTGGGGATGTTCAGCCCAGCTGCAGGCTCTGAGGTCAAAAACTGTGAAATTGCCTGGCTTAAATATTTTTATCTCCTCTCCTTTTTCATTTTTTAAAAACAAGCAGAACACCACCTTCTCTACCCCACAAGCACCACCACCATCAAATGGCTTGTACAATTGAGATCTGTCCTTGGTACATAGAATTAAGACCCTGACAGAACCAGCTGTGCTGGGATTCAAACTAATGACCGTCAGACACAGAAGGACACTGTGGCAGCTGGTAGTTCTTCCCCCCCTCCCCATTTTTTTCTGCCTCTTTAGTTCAGCTTGTTTGTGGGCAGGCTCTTAGTATTGTGTGTTGCTTACAGTTTATTCTCTAATGCATTGTGGACTTTCTCAGTACTTCATATCCTTAGTAATCAAGTCTTCTGCAGATATTCTGCACACTATGTCATCATCTCCTCTTTGATGTGCTCTCTCAAA